AACCCACTTTGCCTTAGCTTCTTCAAATTGTACCCTTAATAGGGCGGCTTCTTCAAATTGTTGCAACCGAGCCTCTAACTCGATGACCTCAGTAGCTTGTGCTTCCAATTCCGGGAGGCAGGCAACAATTTGATCCTCCGCGGAGGTGAGTTTCTTTTTTTCAACGATCGACCTCTAAAGGACCACAAAAGCAAGGAAGTTAGCCTGCATAACAGAAGTACAAATTAAAAATCCCTCCATAACAAAGATAGAAGGAATAATAGAGGGTACAAATATCGTACCACCACTGTGTGTGCATGGCATTGTTCACCATACACTCTCCCGAGAGATACTGTTTTTTTTTCCTTCTCTGAAGCTAGAGGCTTCAGATAATTAGCAAGTTCCACCGACCGCGACATCCGGTAGAAATCGAGAGAAAACACTCCTCCTCCATTGAGGATCTTCGGAGGGGGCTGAATAGTTATGTCCCAAATTCCCATGAATTGGGGACTAGGAAGAGGGACATCCTCATCTCGGACGACTGTGGCTGGTGGAGATGATGTAACAGTTGTTGGTGGCGAAGGTAAAGTTGGCGAAGAAGGAGATGAAGCTGATGGCGTTGTAGGTTGAGAAGCAGCTCCGATAAAAGCAGTGCTAGTTGTTGGTTGCTCATCAACCGAATACGGAAGAGACCTGGTACCCAGCCTCACGATATCGGGAACAACGACTAGGACTCGGAAGCGAGAGTTGGCATCTTCCACTATATTACATTCCCCCCAGAGCGGCTGGATGTCATCCTTGATTGGTGTAACTAGCTTAATAGATTGAGCATTCTGTTGAACTGATGAAGGTCATCCTCTTCTATGTAGAGAATCCCCCTAATCACTGGCTCTTCTATCGCCATCGATCACCACAGTGTCTGAGGCTGGCTCGGCGTGGCGCTCTCTGCCTTTTTATTTTTGCCCTCGGCCGTGGAGGAACGTCGCCTTTTTTGTTGCTTGTTCTCCGGCCGGGGACTCCGAGAGGAAGCACTTGCACCAGAGGCATACCCGATGACAACTGTTTGGCTGAAAGCCTCCTGTAGCAACCTCGCCGGATCAGCAGGATCGGCCAAAACGTCATCCTCGGAGACGCTTACAGAGCCATGCGGAAGACCTAAATTCAACAAAAGAGAAAAGTTAGCCAGTTTTCCTATACGTAAGGAAAAAACAAGATAAGTTCAACCTACCATGATTTTTGGCATTCCACCCATATTTAAGGGCCAGTTCTTTCCACCGACAGGTCTCAAGCGTAGTGACGTCCAAAATCATCTGGACCCACTGGTCCAATTCTTCAACCATTGATGGTGTCCACTGAGTTGCTGAAATAATGAAAGAAGAAGGATCAGTAGTAGCATGGGACACCATTAATCAGAGGGAAAGACAGACGTTGAACTTACGAGTACGGTTTCATAATTCAGGAAAGGATGAAGTTGCGGCCGGGATAATGTCCCTGGTGGCAATTACAACGAACCGCTCCATCCAACCATGGTCATTTTCATTGTCCATGCTGTTGAGAAAAGCATGGTGACCACGTTTGCTGAAGTTTATCATTCCCCCACTGAAGATCTTGGGGAATAAAGGTTCATCAGTCGAGCCAGGGAGAGCTCTTCCCCTGTCTCTTGGCATAGATGCCGAAGACAGGCAACCGTCCGCTACACAGAAGAGCTCACTTGTGCCAAACAAACTTGGTAATGGAAGCAAAACTCCAAGATAACCGAATCAAGCCCCCGCTCAATGAGAACTTGCCCAAGTGAAGGGGATACGTGTAAACGTACATAAAATCCTTCTTGCAGAAGTTTACCCGCTCCGCTAAATCAGGAGCGATAATGTTCAAATCTTGACAACCACAGTCTTCCTTCACATGAGGGATGATGGAAGGACGAATAAAAGAAGGATATAAACCTACAGCCCATGTGCGGGGAATTGCAGTAGGGTACTTTTCTTCGAAGTCCTTAGTTGTAGTAAGCCTTCTGGGGATAACGGTGCTCACCATAGGAGGAGCATCATCATCAGCGTTTTCTTTGTTCTTTGAAGAATTAGAATTTTTGAAAAAAGAGGCCATAGTTATCAGAAGGAAGTAAGGGTTTTTCTCTGAAGAAGAAGATTAAAGGAAGTTGAAAATAAGTGTGAGTTGAATAATGAGAGTTTCAGAGAGTTTAAGAAATTATGAAGTACAATAGAAGAAGAGGGAAGCGTATAAGTAAAGGAATAGGTGGCTAAAATAGTGGCCATGATTACTTTGAGAACCGATGAAAGTATTGCTGAATCGTGGGATGAATCGTGTTTCGAGCATTAAATGCGGAGAGACGTGCGTCTAATCAAGCGTCAGAAACTTTTCAAAGAGAATCAGTAAATTTCCCGCCAAGAAAGGTATCTTTACCAACTTCCCGATGACACAAGGATGTGCCGCCAGAAAGCAGGGGACTATCTGTATAGGGTAAAATCGGTTCATATTAAATGCTCGTATAATAGAGTGACATGTGAAACTAGAAACAGATGGAAAGCAAGACAGGTGGAAGTCAAGACTAGGGGCAGCAGTCTCGGTTGGTACCGGGAAGCCCCTAAGAGGAATGTTGCTAATGAAGACAGGTGAATACCTATCACCCGATAGCATCCAATGAAGAATATTCTACAGTATTAAATACATAATCCGTTATAGAGAATATGACATTCATAGCCTGCCGTTACACATTTTTCAATGACCCTCACAATTATCATTTAAGAGGGGCTTGATCCTAGGACCTTGTTCCCTAGGTGACACTATAAATAAGGATTCCCACAACCATCAGAGGGACACAATTTTTTTGCAAACTTATGCTATATACTGTTCAAAGCTCAATAATTCTTTATCTTCTTGCTTCTTAACATTGTTATTACTGCCTTCGGAAGCTCTGCTCCCGGAACCAAGCTCTCTACTATCTTATCTCGTTTTCAGTGCTAAGTATTACATTCTTATTTAATTTTATTTATCATTTTGGGATCAAATCGATTCATTTATCTAAAAACCACATATAAATTCAACTGTACCGTTTTACGGGTAAATAGTAAGACCGAGATTTTTTATTTTCAGAGAGAAGTTCTAATTGCTTACCCTATTCATCATACTTAAGGGGGAAAAAGCATATAAGAAATCTATAAAAGTCAATATATATAGGAAAAAAAATTTATAATCTAAGATTTCATCCTATTACAAGAATCCTTTCTATTCATCAATCATCCATAAAATTTATAATCTAAGATTTCATCCAAAACGTTAAATATGGCAAAAAAATTATGAGTGCTTCTTAATTATTCGTTGACTGGTCCAAATCTTGAATAATATGCATGAAAGGGTAGAGAACTTTCTATATATTCCAACTACTAATCTCAAATGATAGCTCATAAGCAATTCATGCAAAATAACACACCTGAAGAGAGGTTTCAGGTGTGAATAGTACGAATATAGTTTGTCCATGTTGTATTTATAAAAAGATAGATTTTAACGCTTAATCTATCTCTTTTTCACTTTTCGATTATACTAGTTTCTTGATACGTGCGTTGACGTGTTATTCCATACAAGCAGTAAAAAAAATTTAAAATATTATTAAGACATGTGAAATATGACACCAAAATTTCAAAAGAAAAAAATACAAGCTAAAAATAATAAATAGTTTTAGAGATGTAGTGTTGAACTCAAATTGACTAGATAGCTCTGCGAAAATCAATAATTATATTTAGTTAGGCAAGTGTGTTTTATAATTATATAAATTTTGTTCTTATGAGTTACAAACATATACTATGATCGGATGTTTCACCTAATATTTCTTTGTAGATATTGTTCTTGAAGTTGTTCCATTTTGATATTTCAGTGAAATAATCCGTGCAACAAATAAAAAGAGAAACTAATACTTATTTGTACATGAATTTTTTTTTAAAGAATGAAAGAATTAAATGTTTGTAAAATTTTGTGAACAATTAAGTAAGAAGCGACTGACAATAATAGAAACATACTCTAACAACTTTGTTTTTCCATAGTTATGCAAAATTATACAAGAATTTTGAAATATTAATTACAAAAGGTTGAGGGAACCAAAAGGTTTTGTACTTATTTATGAAGGTATAATTTTTTGAAGGGTATCATAGTCACTTAAGTTTATAGGGTTATTTTAGTCTTTCACATTCAACTTTTGATCTTCATGCTTATAATATAGTATGATATGATAATAATGATGATATGATTATTAATAAAAGAGAACATATTAAATAGGTGTTTGTATTAGTACATATACCGTTATCAGTAATACCAATACTTGCTAAACTGATTTATATTTATTCACTCTTAGCAGGCATCTGGGCATAAAAATTGGAGTTGAGTTGAAAAATAGTATTTGAAATTTTAAATTATGTTTGAATATGTATTTCACTTGAAAAAATATTGTAGTTTGTGAGTGGGTTTTTCTAAAAGTTCTGATAAACTTATTTTCAAAAAATTTCTAAAATTTTATAGACAAACATATTTTTAATTTTTTTTTAAGGACAAACGGGGCTTAATAAGAAATGTTAAATTGGAGTTTTAGAAGTAGACGCATTATCTGTTAACTTACCCGACTCAATAACAATAACAACAATAATAGTAATAATTATCTAGCATAACCCCGCAAGTGACATCTGGGAGGGTACGTACGCAGCCTTACGCCTATACTATTTCCGATTAACATACCCGACACAAATATCAAAATTATTAAATGGAGAAAAAGGTATTTGTAGAAATGCAAAAATGCTGTTGCCAAAAACAAATTCGGTGCAATTACTATAGTTGCCATTTGTCCGTTTTATCACAACATTTATTCCCAAAATTGGGCCGAACAGTCAAACTACCCGTTCCATATGGCTCTCTGTCATTGGCTGGTCAAACTTAGATAATATTTCCCATTTGAAGAACCGGGTTTTTGTCACCTTTCTCTTGTCCAGCCCAGCATATTAATCTCAAGAAAAATTGGAAAAGCAAACAATAATGAAATGAATTGTATTAGACAAGAGGAGAGTAGAAAAATCAATCATAATTGTGTGTGTTAAAAGTCTCATCAAAATCCTCAATTCTCTTCAAAAGATTCCAAAACATTTAGAGGTCCACCAAAAAAAAAAAGAACCCCACTTTCAATTTTTATTCATACCTATTATTTTCTTTGCCTAATCAATGATAATCTTGTGACCAAGCTAAGTTATTTTCTCCACAGAGAGAGAAAGACAGAGGGGAAATTGACAGCAAGTTGTGAAGGGGATTGCTTTTGCGAAAAAGAAAAGAAAAGAAAAGAAAAGAAAATCTCATCTCATCTGTTGAGGTCAGGGCCAAATTAAAGGGTCTTTCTTCATTTTTATCATTCTTTGCTTTGACTGTCTTTTTTATGTTATATGTTCAGGTACTTGGCCTTTGTTATTATTACTTATTATTCTCTGATCATCACATCACTTTTTAATGATTGATTCTCCTCCTGGGTTTTTATCTTCCTTGTTTCTCTATTATGTTTCTTCGTCTCACTGCTCATGGTTTATGGTTTCAGTTCGTTCTAGGTACGATGTTGTTGTGTTTTTTCTTTCTGATGACCCTTTTGCCTGGAAAATGTTTTTTTTTTGCTGTTTCCTTATTTGTTAGATCCTGATGTGGTTCAAGATTTAGTAAAGTTGCAAACTTTATTTTCTATAATCAGTCACAGGCAGGAGAAGTAAGCTTCTAGAAATTGGATGGATCAAAATTCTACTTTTATTGGAATGTAATCAATTTTGGGTGTTTGTTCTCCTTTGATGGATTTTTTTTTTTATAACCAAAAAAAAAAAAGAAAAAAGGTATAATGAAGGCATATCTTGTGAATACTTTTATGCTGTCGCCTTCTGATTACTAGGTTTAATTGATGAATGGCAAAGTTACCTAAGAGAATCTACTGCAACAATCCATCTTCTTCACGAGTATTTGCTATTTCCTAGAAATTGGAAAAGGGGAGAGGTAGACGTTGGCCAAAGAAGTATTGGGGAAAGGTGATTAGGTAGGATATGACGTTGCTTTAGCTTATCGAGGACATGACCCTTGACAGGAAGGTGTGGAGGTCGATAATTAAGGTAGAAGACTAGTAGGTAGTCGCGAATATTTCTTTCGCATACCAGGTAGTAGTAGTGTTAAGTATGATATTCTATTATTGTTAGATTTCTACTACTACATGTTCCTTCCGCTTCGTTTTCTTATTATCTTGTTGTTGTTATTGCTTGCTGCTGCTGCTGCTGCTGCTTTCTCCATCTTTCCTTGAGCTGAGGGCCTAACAGAAACCTCTCTACCTTCTAGGTAGGGGTAAGATCTGCGTACACACTACCCTTTCTAGACCCCCACTTGTGGGACTATACTAGGATTGTTGTTGGAATAGGGGAAGTTAATTTTCTTCTTCTTCAGGGAGATGTTTTAATACGTAGAGTGAAATTGACTGGACAGTTAAGTGTCTGATGGCAGAAGTAGCTTTAAGGCCTCTGAGTATCACTCCTTTGATATTGTTAAGAAGCAATCAGTAAATTTTAACGTAGCTGTTTTAACATTTGATGCAGTTTAAAATCTTTGTGACATATATTAATTTCATGCTACTCCTTAATTTCATGCTAACAGTGCCGGCAATTGATGGGTGGGTTCGATGACCATGTTGCCATTATGGGAGATTGGATGCCTCCAAGCCCAAGTCCAAGAACGTTTTTCTCTTCGCTGCTAGGTGATGATATTGGGTCAAGATCAACTTTTGAGTTCCCAAATGAGAATAAACGTGGAAACTTAGCTTCTGAGCCTCAAGAGCATGTTGGCAATTCTGATGGAGCACAAACTGATGCAACGACAGTGAAGTCTGACCAGAAAATGAGCTCTCGCGGAGGACTCTTGGAAAGAATGGCAGCTAGAGCTGGTTTTAACGCCCCAAAACTTAACACGGAGAGCCTTAGACCTGCTGATCTGTCACAGGATCAGGGCGTTCGTTCTCCTTATTTAACTATTCCTCCTGGTCTTAGTCCAACATCCCTGCTGGAGTCTCCTGTTTTCCTCTCAAATTCACTGGTATGTATTTGATGATTAAGTCTTTGTACTTTGCGCCCATCACATAATTGAATTCCCAGATTTAGGTTGCTTATTTTTGATCTATGTTATAATGCTGCAAGTTTAAGAGGGATGACAACAACAAATGGAAGGATATGGCACACAAGTTTAAATACATAAGCTATTGAGTCTGCAATGCGTCAAGAGGAGATGTGAAAACACATTTTTGTATCAATTTTAACAGTTCTACCTTACGAATTTTGTCGATCTTTTATCAAGAGTGCATGATTGTTCTTTGTTGCAACTTGTAGAAATTAAGTAATACTCTCTCCGTTTCTTTCTTTCTTTCATAAAAAAAGAAAAAAAGAAAGAAAGTAAGTATTACTATAAAGCTGTATATTGTATAAGGATATCAGCTTACTTGCTTAGATAGCTATTTGTTGTTAGTCGTTATCATGTTCTACTTGAAACAACTAGCTCATAAATAAAAGTAAACTTTTTTACTTATTTTATGACGTTTTTATGACGTGTTACTGTCACAACTTGTGACTCACAACATTCTCTTTTATATGGAGTGAATTCTTGCATTTTATGGAACTCCATACAATTCTCTTCTGTGCTTCTGAATGGAAGATTTCGTCTTCCGAGTTTGTAGCATTAGCGTTATGATATATTTTTTTGACCAACGGTCTCTTACCTCAAGTTTGCTGCAGTGCAAAGTTTGTTCTGCAATTAGATCTTTCATCTTTGTCCATCTTCCTCTTGCATTTTATGATGCAAAAGCAAAACCAAATGTCAGAATCTTAAGAAGTTGAAGAGTCCTAGTTTCACATCATGGTAGTTGAAGAGTCCTAGTTTCACATCATGGTCCAGATATCATGTTTTAGTATTCATTTTAATCAGGCTTACTTAAGTTTTAGAAGAGAACTTCAAGCTTTGTAGTTACTTGTGCAGGACAGCTGTTAGATTGTTAAGATGCTAATCTTGCAAGATCTTGTTTCTAATACTATATCATTAAAATGCACAATTTGCTTGAATCATTTTGCTTTTGGCCTGATGCGATTGTTACTTGTATTGGGTGCTTGTAAAGTAGTACTTCTTACGAGAAATCTCGTAGTTTTGAAACTGAAGGTTCTCCTTAATGTAAATGCTTCAATCAATGTTTTGTAGGTGCAACCATCTCCAACAACTGGAAAATTTCAATTTGCCTCGGGCATCGAGAGTAGAAACTCGACATTTATGATGGAGGATCCTGATAAGAGGAAAGAGAATGCTTTAGAGAGTATCAATTCATCGTCCTTTTCTTTTAAGCCAGTACCAGAGACTGCTCCATCTCTGTTTCCTGGCGCGACCAGCAGAGTAATCACACTCTCTCAGTCTCTCTCACATTCACTCACATGCACTATGCACAGATTTTCTGCCTGTTTCCAATTTCTGAGATTGCTTGTTAGTCTTGGTTGCAGGTTAACTCGTCCAATATTTCTCAGCAATGCTTTCCAAACAATAAGGTTTCAGTTCATTCGCAGAACTCTCTTCTATCTCACTGTATGGAAGCTACACAAATGCAGACTCAGAACGAGAAGGGACTTCATCAATCATCTGATTTCCCTAGATTTTCTGCTGAGAAGGATGTCAGAGATAGTAATGTCACACCAGACTCAACGAACTTTCAGACAGTTGGTAGTAATGTGGAGCATTCTCCACCTCTTGATGAGCCACAAGATGAGGAAATTGATCAAAGAGTGGGTGGAGATCCAAATGTTGTTGGTGCCCCAGCCGAGGATGGTTATAATTGGAGAAAGTATGGGCAGAAACAAGTTAAAGGGAGCGAGTATCCTCGGAGCTATTATAAGTGCACGCATCCAAACTGTCCGGTCAAGAAGAAAGTGGAGCGATCTCACGAGGGTCATATTACCGAGATTATATACAAGGGAGCCCACAATCACCCAAAACCACTGCCGAACCGTAGATCAACCCTTGGATCCACAAATTCACTTGGTGAACTACAGCTAGACGGTGCAGAGCAAGGTGTAAGTGGTTCTAATGGTGATCTGGGTCGGGCAAACATTCAGAAAGCATCTGATGCTGGAGGTCTTGATTGGAGGAACAACAACCTTGACGTTACATCGTCAGCTCACTTGGGCTCTGCATACTGCAATGGATCAGCCTCTTTTCCTGTTCAAAATAACACCCAGTTGGAATCAGGGGGTGCAGTAGATGTGTCGTCAACTTTTTCAAATGATGAAGATGAAGATGATCGTGGGACTCATGGCAGTGTATCACAAGGTTATGACGGTGAAGGAGATGAGTCTGAGTCTAAAAGAAGGTTTCTATTATCATCGTTAACCTTAATGAATAAGATTTCCAAGATTCTATCATATTGACCTGATTACTTATTTGTTATTATCTCCTTGATAATCTAGGAAGCTCGAGACTTACTCTACAGATATGAGTGGTGCGACTAGAGCCATCAGGGAACCAAGGGTTGTGGTGCAAACTACAAGTGAAGTGGACATACTTGATGATGGATATCGTTGGCGCAAGTACGGGCAAAAGGTTGTTAAAGGGAATCCAAATCCAAGGTATATCACATTCATAAAATTCATAAGAATCCCCAATTTTTACTTGTAAGTTTGTTTGCTAAAATTGATTGATATCCTCTTTGCCAGGAGTTACTACAAGTGCACAAGTGCTGGCTGCAATGTCAGGAAGCACGTTGAGAGGGCCTCGCATGACCTGAAGTCTGTGATTACCACCTACGAAGGGAAGCACAACCACGATGTTCCTGCAGCTCGCAACAGTAGTCATGTTAATTCAGGGGCCTCCAACACCCTTCCAGCTCCAGTAACCGCTCCTCCTGCTCAAAGCCATTTACATAGGCCTGAGCCTGCACAACTTCAGAATGCCATGGCACGTTTTGACAGGCAACCTTCACTCGGCTCATTTGGACCTACCCCAGGATTTAGCTATGGAATGAACCAGCAAAGCCTAGCGAGTCTAGCAATGGCTGGATTTCACCCTAACCAAAGCAAGTCGCAACAGCAGGTTCCTGTCCATTCATATCTGGGACAGCCGCGACCCATGCATGATGGGGGATTTATGTTTCCAAAGGAAGAACCCAAAGCGGAACCTATGTCAGATCCTGGATTGGATCTCTCTAATGGCTCATCGATTTATCAGCAATTTATGAGCAGGTTGCCGCTTGGACCTCAGATGTAAATTTACAAATTTTGCCTTTTCTAAAGATAAGAAAGTTAAAGATGTTGACTTTGGTATTTAATGGGCATAACCCCTACACAACGTCCTATAATTCAATTCTTTGAAGTTTTTTGGTCTTTGTTTTTCCTTCTAGTACTATATATATATCAGCAGCGTTTTATTTGGTGTTTTTGCTTCAGTTTCTTGATATTCTGACAACTAGTTTCAGGTTGTAACGTGGAAAAGTTCCATGGGCATTAAATGTTGTTATGTTCTCTTCCCATGCAAGAAACCTTTAGAAAAGATACGTAGGCAATATTCTTTTATGTATTGAAGCTAGGGGTGTGCATTCGATTTTGATCCTTATCGATAATTACTTATCGATTATCGATTTTTACATATGCTTATCGTTATCGTTTCAATAAGGTTTCGATTTTTTCGATTTCGATTTATCGATTTTTGGGGCTTATCGATTCGGTTATCGATAACACTAATAATCCAAGAGGGATCACAGATAACCATAGGTTCCCAAAACAAACAGATGCACAGCTATTTCATTTCGAACTGTTTCTATGACAAGAAAAAACGAAAGAAAAGGGACACGCACATAGTGAATATTATATATCTCACACGAGTAAAAACTAAAATGAGAGCAATTACACCAAAGAAAGGTCAATTGTTCAAGTAGCAAACAACTAGGGAGAATTTCTGCTCCAATGAGAGGAAGAGTTCAAGTTTGGTCAGTCTAGATGCAATTGCAACTTTCAACCAAGAATCTAGATGAGATGAATATTCATTATCCATAAAGAAACCCACCGTCAGGGAACGTATATGCCTTCCACGCATCAGCTGCATCATGATCTGATCCACACCCATAACAAACTCATGCCTTTCCATCTCAGACATCAGGTCATACATCTCACACGAGTAAAAAGTAAAAAGAGATTAATTACGTAAAAACAAGAGCTCTCAAAACAGATTATACATCAGATCACATCACAAGTTGCTATGGAAGCACAAGCCAAAACCAACGACACAAGACATATGACCCCAAAAGCAAGCACAAGCCAAAACCTTCCTCTGTATAAATGTTACCAACCTATACAGCAAGCTAAACAAAAGCACAAAAGCATACTAGCTGTTGTGCACAAAAGCACAAAAGCTAAACAGAAGCACACACGATCTTGCCATACATAAAATGTAAATAAGACATGATTTCCAGCAAAAGAAACTGTGGCAACAAAAATGAACACGATCTTGCCATATAGAACTGATTTACTTGCGATGATAACTGTGGCAGCAATGGTACAGCAAAAGAAAATGAAGTTCCAACAACTTGCGAATCACCAGTTGATGGGCAGCAAATCAATGGGCAGCAAATCAAGTTCAACTTCACGAGCCCAACTTCAACGTCCATGTTATAGCTATAATGCGCAGCAAATCAAGAATCAACCCTCAAGTTATTAAAGAGAAAAATATTAAGAACTTTGTAATACATCACATTCTTTTACAAGTATATTATTTAAAATGGAGAACTTACATAGCAACTAACAAACTCTAGCAAACATCGTCAGTGGAAGCTTCCTTGCCAAGATTAGTAAAATCTAATAAGAAAATATATTAACAAGTCAAGCAATTAATATATTATTTAACTATCTTAAGCAATACAGTAAAATTAATTAAAATATACATACTTTCCTCGAGTGTCTCAAGAAAATCTAAATCTTCCTCAACATTTACAGGAAGTGATTCACTTCGAAGCCAATCTTGAAGGCACACTAGAGTTTCAACCAATTTAGGAGTTAATGAACTCCTAAATTGGTCAAGAATACGCCCTCCGGTACTAAATGCACTTTCAGATGCCACACTTGAAATAGGAATAGCAAGCACATCTCGAGCCATCTTAGCAAGAATAGGAAATCTAGGTGAGTTGACCTTCCACCAAACCAAGATATCAAAGTCCGGTCTTTCATTTTCAGGATCTTCTGCAAGATACTTTTCCAATTCTGTTTTAGAATCTACACCTCCACTTGCAGCTTTATGTTTCCTTATTTCATCTAAAAGTTCACCTAAACCAGGAGTTGAAGTTTCCATTGTGCTAAATGAAGAGCTTGGAAAAGAGGTAGAAACGTTACCACCAGTATCTTTTGAAACCGACTTAGAGACATACTCATTAAACAATAAACTCATATAAGTATGAACCTCTTTTTCAATAATTGTCCCTTCATCTCCAAACATCTTCTTAAGTACAAAACTAACAGTAGTAAACTTGTAGCGAGGATCCAAAACACAAGCAATGAAAATCATTTTGTTCATTTTTGTTGGTTCACCCCAATACTTCTCAAATTTTTTCCACATACTTAATGCCATCTCACTCAAAAGTACATCTTCAGTTGTTATTAATCGATTTAGTAAACAACAACTTGACCAATTGCAAGAAAATGGGATTTCGATGTTACATAAAGTNTTATCCCAATCAGTTCTGTAAGAAACCTACAGGCTTTCCATCTGAAATAGCATCAAACATAAGATAACGTGACAAGCCGGTATCACGATCAGAATATTTTTTAAGTGCACGCTCATATTCAATAGCTCTGCTCAACATCAAGTAGGTGGAATTCCACCTTGTAGGAACATCTAAGCATAAAGACTTCTTGACAATATTTTCACTTTCACAACATTCCTGAAACTTCCTCAACCTAGCAGGAGACTGTCTAATGTATCTGACTGCACATCTAACACGAGCAATAGAAATACATGACTCTTTTAAACCATCTTTCACAATAAGATTTACAATATGAGCCATGCATCTCATGTGAAAGTGTTGACCATTCATGGAATTGGTTCCCCAATCATCTAATTTGTCAGACAACTTCTCCACGGTCACATCATTTGAACTAGCATTGTCAACTGTGAAATAACTAAGAAATACCTGAGGATTAGCTGATGCACGGAGGTCGCCGGAGCTTTTATGAAACCGGGAAGAATGACAATAGATAGAACTGAGAAGCACCGGACCGGACTAAGCAGAAAGTGAAGACTGAAAACCCTTTTATTTCTGGGTCTACGCACAGTGAAGACTGAAGAGAAGCGGCACTGAAGAAGGGAGGAAAATAGGGTTAGCCGGTTAGGGTAGGGACTTAACTTAAGTGAAGGGAAAGGGTAGTATTATAAAATAAGGGCATATTTGTCTTTTTGGTATTTCTTATCGGTTTATCCATAAACCGATAAACCGAAAGGACAAAATCGAAATCGAAATCGATAACTCGATAAGAAAAATTTCGAAATCGAAATCGAAATCGATAAACCGATAAACCGATATCGATAAACCGATAACAAATAATCGATTCGATTTATCGATAAACCGATTCGAATGCACACCCCTAATTGAAGCAGGGATATATGAGGTTCAGTGTAATAAATCGGTTTTTCTCCAAAAAGAAGACCGAACTCCTTAGGCCACTTTGACCAATGTAGAATTGCTCGGTTGTCTTGTATGATTCTTTGTGCGTCTAGGTAGCGAGTCTAGCTTTCAGAGTTGCGTAAGTTAGCAGCTCTGTGTTTTTCTCAAACATTTTCTTATCTTCTTCACTTAGTAAACCAAGTGAAGAATATATATATATATATATATATATATATATATAGATAGATAGATAGTCTTAAGGTACGCGCTTTACGCGTGTATTCATTTTAATGAGTACATAGCTTTAAAGAATAGATAAATATTATCAATTTGTTTCAATTTATATTGCATAGTTTGACTGAATATGGTATTTATTTAAGTAGGAAACGAAGACTTGTAGACATACCATAACAGATGGAATATCTTATTTAACTATTTTTGATGTGATTACTGATAACTTTTGTGGGAACAACCATGCAAAAGTGTTGCTAATTTTGTAATTTAATACGAAATAAATAAGTAACATAAAAATATTTTTATCACGATTCTTCAAAAAGTTGTTAAATAAGACAAATTGAGAAATTAATACTTTAGGCCTTTAGAAATCTGGAAATAAAGATATTGTCCTTTGGCTAATAAAAAATTGATAAGTGATAATGTAAAATGACCAAAATTGAGTTACTAATATTTTGCAACAAATAACTTAATATATAAAAAATATAGGGATTTTTCATTTGTTGAAAAAATTTAAAAGTAAAAAAAATAAATAAGAATTAATAGCAATCCATTTGTAATATACTTCTTCTTCTTCTTCTTCTTCTTCTTCTTCTTCTTCAAGTTTGCACTTTACCAATTTAATTTTAATTTTTTATACTATTCTATAACCGAATTCGGTGTCTTTTCTAATTTCTTTCATCTTCAATACTCTTCTTATTGTAAAAATAGCACGGTCTAGCCAGTTTTCGGACTGGTCATTCAAAAATAGCCAGCGTTTACCAAGTCAATAAAAAATAGCCACTATTTTGCTGCAATAGATACCGGTCCAGCATAATATACTGGAGTTCGGTGCACCTGTGTATGAACTTCCATCATATTATGCTGGAACTCCAACACACGGAAAGTTCCAGCATAATATACTAGAGATTCGAGCACTTGTGTATGAACTTCCAGCATATTATACTGGATCGGTATACTTTGCTGGAACTCCAGTATATTATGCTGGAGTTCTAGTGTACTTATGCTGGAACTCCATCATATTATGCTGGAGTTCCAACATACTTATCCTGGAACTCCAGTATAATATGCTGGAGTTCAAGTATACTTATGCTGGAACTCCAGCATAATATACTGGCGTATTTTTCGGGTTTGAACAGTGTTTTCGCTCAGATTTATCTTTACATGAAAAGTGGCTAAATTTCGATTACTTTTGAAACTGGGTTATTTTTGAACGACCACTTGTAAATCTGGCTATTTTTCAATTTCTCCCAATGCGGTTAACTAAAAAATAGTTTTACTTATGTGAGGAATTTGAAAATGAACCAATTTAGTGCTTTAGCTAGTTAGCTTATTCAAAGATTTAATTATTAGTTCTCAACCTTAAAGGTATTTTAATTCTAATATTTTATTATTTGTTCTCAATATTAAAGATGATTACTTATTTTTGAATCAAATTCATAATATTAGCTCATCATAAATTTTAAATTTAACTGCAATTATAATTTATCAACTAATCATTCTAAAGGATAAAAATTTGTAGTATGCATACTATTTCCAAAGGATAAAAAAAT